TAAAATAGTAAAATGATAGTTAAGTACATCAAACAGATAAAATAGTAATAAAAACATGGCATATATATAAAAAAAAAAAAAAAATTTTGAAAATACTGCAATGAATCACCAAGAATAAAAACACAAGGCAATAAAAAAGATACACTAATTCTATAGGCTCCCGGCCTTATATTCAACTTTGCATAGTTCTCCAAGATAAGTGCTTTATGACCAATTCCACACGCACATGTTATAGACAGCATAGTCAAATTCCAGAAGATCCTAAAACGACGTCGCATCAGGAAAAAGAGACCTCAAGTTAAAAATATATATATATATATATATATATATATTTTTAAAAGCCTGGTATGAAAATAAGATTTGGAATTATACTATAAAGTAGGAAATCGCACAAAATCCTGATTTACCTTCTAATTCTAAAGACTGAGTTAAAAATTTTGAGACCCTAAAGGTTATTCTGAAAATTTGTTTACCTCATATCTGATATTTTCAATTATCTGGTATAGATGTTGCAGATTATATATATCTGCATTTTCAAATTCTTGAAAAAAAAAAAAATTATTAAAAAACTTTGGAAAGATTTGAATAGAAGTTTTTTATTATCCAGTTATAAAGTTACTTCAACAATTCTATCACCTTGTGTCATTTTAAAATCGGAATTACCAACTAGATCAACAGAACTATTTTCAACTATTATCAATAAAGAACCTGTAGCTAAAATCGCATATAAGAAACAATCTATATGAATTCAAATTATTTCTTCGTGGAAGTAAAGATGAATTTGACTATAAACCATCTTTAGCTAATATGGAATTACAAGTTAGTAAAGAAACGCCTGATGGATATATTGAATTAGCTAAGAGATGCATGGACCAGAATCAAGATGAATGGCCCGTGGCAACTCTTCTAGCTGACAACCAAAACTAGAGACCTTGAAAGCTGGAGCTGAAAAAGAAAAGAGCCAGAAGAAATTATATTCAAGGCTAGACCAAGAAAAAGAAAAAATTAAAGACTCTGAAAAGATATACTTAGCTTCGCTCTCTACCGAAATACCTAGGGATATGTAAATCCTGCCTAATAATGAAATGAAAGATTCAGAGAAAATTAGAACTAAAAATAGGACAAAACAGACAAAAAAAAAAAAAAAACTGCCACCAAAGAAATTAGACTTTACCAATTAGGTCCAAGAACATAACCAAGATCTCTCCCAAGACATGTCTGAAAGAAAGAGAGATTGATAAAGATCTTGCCACCAACATCTTGTCAAGATCGGTAAAAGATCTTAAACAAGTCCATTCGACGTGAAGGTGTCTTTATGAAGCCAAGACCAAAGAGACCTTATAAGAAAAACCTGAAATGACGTAGAATTGAGCGAAAAAGCTGAAAGACTAAAAAGTTGTGAAACTAAAGAACAGAAAGAGAAAGAAAGTTAAAATAGATTAAAGTTAGTAAGTTGGTGGATCATTAATCGATAATCTGACGATCACATAGGTGACGTCAAATTCAAGACGAAAGAAAAACCACCTGATTTTGGTATAGTTCTAGAGAATTTAAAAACTGACCTGGCCCAAAGGATAAATGAATAAATACAGTAGTGAAATAAATAATTAATGACATGAAGAAAATACTTATCTACCCTAAATTCTGAATGCGAGGTTTTATTTTTTTTTTTCTAGACGATAAATTTTTTTTTTATGCTATATTTTTTTATATAGTTATATTTGTCTTTTTTTTAGATTAGATGAATTATTTTATTATTTTAGTTTTTTTTATTATTTTTAGACTTGTTTTTTTTAAAGTATAAATGTATTTGTAAGGTGTAACGATAAAGCCTGGTCTGGCAAGGAATAAAACCTATATATGTTGGCTATAAGTTAGCTGTAAATAAAATTTTGGTTATGGTGGGGATAGCTGAGAACAGAATTTGGCTATGGTGTGGATAGCCAAGGATGAAGGATGCTATGGTGCGAATAGCTAAGAATAAAGGATGCTATGGTGCAGATAGCTAAAGAGAGAGGATGCTATAGTGCAGATAGCTAAGGATAAAGGATGCTATAGTGCAAATAGCTAAGGAGGAAAAATGCTATAGTGCGGATAGCTAAGGATGGAGGATGCTATGGTGTGGATAGTTGTGAATAAAGATTGGAATTTTTGGCTAATAGGTTAGCTATGGATAAAGTTTTTGGTTGTGGGGTTATCCCATTTAAAACCCCTAAGTTTTTGGTTACGAGTTATCTCAGGTATAAAACCCTGAATTAAGTTTATAGAATTGAGAGTTCTGGTTACAAGTACACCAAGAAACCTAAAACCTCTAAATAGAATTAGTTTATTTTTTACTTTTATAGAAGTTTAGTTTAGATTTTATAATTACTAGTTAATTATGCTCGGAGGACCTCGCATTTTTGAGGGGAGAGGAGTATAAAATAATAATATTTTTAGGTTCAATATTCTGTATGATTACATAGTTACGTGATATGGTTGAACTCTTCGCATCATAGCCACTACTAAGATTATTTTTCTTTAGTATAGATTTTTCTTTATTTATTTATTTATTTGATATTTATTATTTTCATTATGCATAAATTTGTTATGCATAATTCATTATGCATATGATCATTACACATAAATCATTATGCATAAAATCATTTTGCATAACAGGGCCAGTAAATAGTTTAAAGATTTATTTAAAAT